ACTTGGGGGGCTGAGGTAGGAGGATCACAAGTTTGAGACCAGCTTCGGCAGCTTAGTGAGAACCTGTCTCAAAATAAAAAATAAAAAGGGCTGGGGATATGGCTCAGTAGTTAAGTGCCCCCTGCATTCAATCCCTGCTATCAAAAGTAGATAAATAAATAAATAAGCTGAGGATGTAAGTTCAGTGATAAAGCACACCTGAGTTCAATTCTTAATAGTAGGGGGAAATTTTAATGTATATGCCCCAGCTATCTCACTACTGGGTATATATCCAAAGGAAATGAAATCATACATCAAAGCTACCTACACACCTATGTTTATAACAGAAATATTCACAATAGATGAGACAAGGAATCAGTTGAGGTGTTCATCAGTGGGTGAATGGTTAAAAAAAAATGTAATACATATCCACAATGAAATATCATTCAGCCATTAAAAAAGAATGAAGTCCTGTTACTTGTGGCATCATGGATGGAACATGGAGAATGTTATGGAATAAGCCAGGTACCCATATCTCACGCATATGTTGAAGCTTAAAAAGTACATTCATAGAAGTAGAGAGTAGAAGAGTGGTCACCTGAGGCCAAGAAGAGTAAGTGGAAAGGGTGATAGAGGAAGGTCAGATTAATGGGCGCCAAAATACAGTTAGGATGAATGAGTACCAGTGTTCTGCAGCACATTAGGGTGAATATAGTTGACAACAATTTATTATAACTTGTATAAAGAGCTAGAAGAAAGGAGTTCTGAAGTTCATAAGACAAAGAAATGATAAATGTTTAAGGAGGTAGAAATGATAATTACCCTGATTTGCTCATTACACATTGTATACATGTAACAAATTGCTGCACTGTACCCCTTAAATATGTACAATTTTTTACAAGTATTAATATAATCCAAAATTGTCATCTAACAGATGAAGAAATTAAGGCACAGAGGAATTGATTGAGGGACAACCAACTATCTTTGTATAAAGCAAACATGTAAATAACTGCTGGAGTGATGCATCCAACTCTTCTCACTGCTTTTGTCTAAAGTTTTTCATGATGTCAAAATTTTAGAATATACTAGAGAAACTAATAAGAGTACAGCAGGGCTGGAGGGATAGCCCAGTGGTGAGGCACTTGCATAGCCTATGTGAGGTTCTGGGGTTGTTCTCTAGCACCACCAAAAAAGAAAAGAAAACAAGTCAAGCTTAGCATCATCAAATTTAAATTCTAGTTTTAATATTTTATGAACAGAATATCTGTGACATAGATTGTATAATTTTTCTGAAACCCATATTGTATACCATAAAACCAGTATTATGAAGAAGATAGCTGGTCAGCTAACCTAACCACTTACCTCTAATCTCCATTTTGTAGTTCCCAACAACTCAGCAAATAGCCACCAATTCTTATAAAAGGGGGGACTTACTCTGAAAAGTGCTGATGAAGAAAAAGTATATTTTGAGTGAGAAATTGCATACTATACCAGAATAATCTGGTGATAAAGAAGATTAGGAATGATGAGACTCTTGAATGATACGATTCTAAAGCATTTGTA